CTATTTAATTTGCTGCAATATACCCGGAACATTATCGCTCTCTCTATAGTTAATAATTGCGTTTTCTATGCACCCGCGATCCTCCGTTCTTTCGTTCTCTCTTGCTCTCTCTCTCTCTCTCTCTTTCTCTCTCTTTCTCTTTATCGCATTAAATATTAATGCAGATGCGAGTATCGTTGGCTATACGATGTTGCAGGGCGTCGCTAATAGACGCTAAATACATTTGCTGACAACTACGCGCCACCTAGCCGCCTTCGGAGGAGCAGATTTTAGAGCCAAAGTAGAATATTAATTAACATCACGCGATTCCATTAAAATAGCGCGCTGTCTAAAGGATATAGCCATTTGTCGTTAATAGCCTATTTAGCGCGACATGTGGGATTTACCCAAGTACCGTCGGTCCTCTTTTTTTCTCCCTCTCGACGAGTTCCTTTATATGACGCCGACGAGAGAGCGAACAGACGGACGAGTGCACCTCCGTTGCGCTTCGTGCTAGACACGATTTCGCAATAAAGACGTCAAATATTAATGAACCGTGCTTGCGCACGCGTGCGACGCCGTTATTAATTATAAGCAATATTCGCGTGTCGCAGTAACGACGTTTAACGTCGTTGAGAGAAGTAGCGTCGTTAATAATGCGAGCGCCTCCGCGCGTCACACGTTCGAGCGCCTTTCGGGGCATTTTTGCCGCGGACGGCAGGCTACGCCGTGCCATACATGGTGGCAATTAGCAGAATCATTATGCCGGAGAAGAAGACGGCCCTCGAGAGACATTACGAGGGCTTTCGCGTATTCTAGAGAGCGCGGAAGGGTCGCCATGACCATTCTCGGTCCAATTTCACTGGTAAACCAGGGTGCGTCTACGAAGAAGAAACAACGTAAAATACGTCGGAGGATATAATCCTGCAAAATGGCACGGAGCTACGACGGCTTACCGCTCGTTTCGGTCGCTCTTTCTTTTTCTCCCCCTCCCCCTCTCGCAAAATCGATTTCTGAACGATCCAAGCGATATGAGCTTCTCGCGGTACAGCTCGTGATTTTCCAAAGCGCTTATTGATTGCGATTAATCATGTAAAAGAGAGACAGAGGGGGAAGGAGAAAGAAAGAGAGAGGGAGAGAAAGAGAGGAAGAGAGAGAGAGAGAGAGAGAGAGGGCGGCTGTAATAAATCACACAGCCGAATAAATTATTTGGACATAATCTTCTGTCTCTATCGGTCCACCCTTCGTCCTCTCTCCCTTCCTCCCTCCCTCCATCTCTCTCTCTCTCTCTCTCTCTCTCTCTCGCACACCCTCTTTCTCGCAGGTTGTAGCTCTTAATGTGCAAAAACGAGGGAATAGCTTGAGAGCGACCAGTAGGATGACAGTTGAGGAGGGCTGGCGCGATTCTAGGGATTCGCCTGAGACATTTCTCTTCCCCGCAAAAAAATCTGGGACGAAGACGGCGCATTTGGAGATAAATTACTATTGTAGCGATGTAGCGCGCAATATAAATTCTTGCATAAATCACGCGGAAATTAAAAAGTTTCGTGGGCATTGCGGGAGGTGTATGTACGACAAAGATTTCAGCTCCGACGTCCTCCGTCACACGGCGCCCATAAGCTCTGATCTGCAATAGGTGATTTAAGCTTTAAGCGATAAGAAATTAACCGATTACAGTTGAATGTGAGGAAAATAATCGACTGCCGTTGGTTAATTTCTTACAGCTTAAAGCTTAAATCACCTATTGTAGACCAGGGCTTAGTATCCGCCGAGTCGCGTCGATCGGCCGCGAGCAGGCGGTCGCGAAAAATTTCCAATTTAAGAAAACGAGCGGCAAGAACCGGCCTCGCCGCGCGAGCTTTATGCCGCAAATGCAATGGGCTTTGCGAAAATTCGCATCTGAAGTCTCGTTTTTTCCATGCCGCGAAAAATGACAAGGCTCTCTCTCTCTCTCTCTCTCTCTCTTTCCACCTTGCTTACAAAAAGGAGACACCACGCCGGCACGTCACGCTTTGAAAAATCCGAAACGCGTTCTTCATTCTCCAGCGCATAAATGTTCCGACGAAACCGAATTTCCCCGTGAATTCTGCTCTTTCTCCAAAGTTACCCGAGCTTGTGCGCGCACCGCGCGTTATAAAACGAATTAAACACATTCTTATGGCAGCACGCAAAGGGCTCTCTTTCCGCGCAGTTTTCATCGCGAGCTTTCCCTCTGACGGCGCCCCCCCCCCACCTCTTTGACATCCTCGCGGCTCTTTGCCGCGGGATTGCGCGGCATGTTTCATCTTTCGCGAAATGGAGATGTAAAACAAATAAGCGGATACGAACACACGCATCTTCGCGAGACGACGCCCCCCCCCCCCCCGTCCGGCCGGACGCGTCCGGTATACACAATCAGTTCATACCGGATTAACCCGGGAGTGGTAATTTAGCAGTCCGCGAGTGATTCGAGACTATGAGATTTACTTGCCTTCGCGTGCACGCATCAGCATGCATACCTACATGCATATTTTATGCACTGAACGGGCATATACATGCATACAGGCGAGTTTCTCTCGCGGCATTTCATGCTCCGCCAGCCGCGAAGTGTAAAGTACTATGATTTTTGCCAAGTCAGCGCCGATTACCCCATCCCATCCCCCCTCCTCCTCCTCCTCTTCCTCCTATCCCGCTTTTCCCCGCCCCCTTTTTCGCCGCCCGTCATCCTTTTTTCTATTTTCCTCTTTTGTTTTTTTTTAATCGGTACGCCCGGTGCGAGCAGCATTTCGCGAATCGCTTCGTAACTGACACTCGATAAATCTGGCGTTTCGACGTTTGCTTTTTCTCCTCTCTCTCTCTCTCTCTCTCTCTCTCTCTCTCTCTCTCTCTCTCTCTCTCTCTCTCTCTCTCTCTCTCTCTCTCTTTCTCTCTCTTTCTCTGTCTCTGTCTCTCTCCTCTTTTTTTTTTCATTCGGAGCAAACGGATGCGAAATTAAAAAAAAACGGGGGAAGTGGAAAGAACACGCTTCGTTGAAATTCGATCTTTCCGCAAGCGGCACGAGTAAACACAAGTACATTTTTCGCCATTTATCGAATTTTACTCGCGCGCGCGCGCGGCGAAGCAAGTTTCGGTCCCGTGGCTCGGACGGCGCTCTCCGAGGAGAGCGAGGAGACGTCGCTCGCGACGACGAATTTTCGTCGGAACTTGGCGGCACGTACCTCGCTGGCGCACAAAGCCGCCGTGTTTATGCGCACCTCGGCACGGCGTCCCTTTTACGCCAACTGCGACCCCGATCAGCGTATTTCGTAGCGCAGGCAGTCGTCCGCGATGTAACCCCCGGCGGGATTTGCATTACCGCGAACATCGTGGCGCAACGTCGTAAAGTTTCCGAGTTACCGAACTTCCGATCTCGCGCGAGTTCCTGACAGCGGTGCGAAGAAATTCACGTTTCATCTTCGTTGAACCTGTCAAGATACACAGCCGCAGATATCTCCCTCTCTCTCTCTCTCTCTCTCTCTCTCTCTCTCTCTCTCTCTCTCTCTCTCTCTCTGTCTGCTGCGTACCTCTCCTTCTCCCTACCTCTCTCGGCGTTCTTTCCGTTTCTTTTCTCTCTTATCGATTGCTCTCGCTTTCGAAGGTGATGTATGCTATGATACCGATGCAGCGACGCGTAGGGTTTACGCATAAATATATTAACGGATATCATTCAGGTAGAGCTCCTTGCCAATAGGTGACAGCACCTCACGAGACCGCAAACCTACGCGATCAAGAATTCCGGTACATGTCGAATGTTCGAAGATTTAATCGCGGACTTTCGGAATAACCTATAAAGGGTTTCGCGGTGAAGCAAGTCGAACATCTATACCTTTCGATTTAATTAAAGTAAATATTTTAAATTCGAGAAAGAGAGAGAGAGAGAGAGAGAGAGAGAGAGAGAGAGAGAGAGAGAGAGAGAGAGAGAGAGAGAGAGAGAGGTCGATCGATGATACTATTGCAAATTCTTCGGAAATATCATCTCTTCGAAGTACTCGGAATCTAAATTTACCGTTAATTATTATTTTGTAAAATAAACCCCGATACACACCTCATCGTTATTACCTCATTGAAATGTTTCGAGAACGGATATCTCGCAGGTCGCTCCCGCGGTCGCAAATGCTGAAATATTTCATTATCATTCGAAATAATTAGCCGCTCGGTTCGAACGGCTTTGCAATATCGAGAGTAACTTAGATGGAATAATTCTAATAATATCAAAGACCTTTTGCAAATTTTAACGTGCATATTTCGCTCCTCCTTCGTATCTGTTTGCAAGATTATCGAGTTAAGGTCTTAAATCCGTTAATTAATGCCGTCGAAAATGGCACGGTTTCAGTTACAATGTAACATTTTGAAGCATCGTACCGTGGAAATTGAAAAGAGCTTACATTTCGAGTTTGAATGCGTGCAAAACCCGAGCGAATCTGCTTATTTCCGTAAGTACATACACACACACACACACACGCACGTACACACACACACACACACACACACACACAACACACACACACACACGCACACACGCGCGCGCACACACACACACACACACACACGCGCGCGCGCGCGCCGCGCGCACACGCACACACGCGCACACACACACACAAATTCTCTCAGCGATATCTATGCGCATATCTATATGCACATACATACATACGCATATATAAATATGTATTCTTAAATATGGCCGTTCTCGGCAGACATCTGCGCTCATTTTCATCGGATAGCCGTAACTCCTGAAATTGTTACCAATTACAAGCGAGCGAGAGAAATCGTCCGGACACGAAGGGGACGATATTCGCGACATAAATTCATCGGCGAAGGCGCCCGAAAACGCCTTCGCGCGTATCCGCGGCTATCCGAGATATCGAGGAGGCGTGCGTTTTTGAAATTGGCGCAGATCGTTGCGCGAATTTCAGGAGCTTCGTGTTGTTTTGCAACAGTAACGGCAAAAGCCGTTGCGCACGGCACGGTAGCAGAAAGACGCGCGCGATAGGTCGCCCACTCACCTCGCTGCGCCGCAGGTAGATCCGCAGCCGGTCGAAGCGGACGAATAGAGGTTGCACGGCGATGACTGACTATATGGTGCCGGAGTAACGAAAGCACGAGAGATACGGCTGAGAGAGAGAGCGTCCCGTTGTACCCGTTGCGCGGCTGCAATACGCGCGGCTTTCCCGGCTTCACCGCTGGACTGTGCCTGTCTGCCGAGCGGGGGAAAAAGAAAAGCGGAAAAAAGGCAGACGGGTTATAGATAGAAAGAGAGAGAGACAGAGATAGCGTGTGCGATACGGCGAGGTCGAAGTCTCGTGGCAAACGTTCGTAGACTGAGTGAACCGGAGTTCAGACTGAACGGCGCTTAGACGACGCTAGCGCCATGCGACGGGGGGCGAACGAGTTACCATCGATCGGCCGAGGGTGGTATGGGAAGAACCAGTTAAAAGGCACGGAGTGGGGGGGACTCGGTCGGCTGCTACACCGGCGGCGAGACAAGGATGACGGGAGGGAGCAGGCGAGGTTGCGGTACCCACCACCATCGCGTCGCGGTGGCGAGGATTAGGATTAGAAGAGAGCCGATGATGGCAGCGGGAAAGAAGGCGGAGGTGCGGAGCGTAAACGCGCCGCTTTCGCTCCCCTGAAATCCCGATCGTTCCGCTCCGCTTCGTTTCCTTCTCGTCCCGCCCGACAGAGCGGCGTGCTTCTTACTCGCCCGTTTCCTCCTTCGCCATCTTTCTCCAGTGTTCGCCCCTAGCCGCCTAGCTGGCTGGCTTTCCGCTTCGTCCGCCTGACTCTTCACCGCCACGCACCCCTCCTCATCTGCGTATCCTTCGACTTTCTTCTCTCTTTTTCTCTCTTTCTCTCACTCTTCCACTCGTCCCTCGTCCTCTACTTTTCACCACCCCTTTCTCTCGTTTCCCCCCTCCCCCTCCCCGCCCCCCCCCCTCTCTCTCTCTCTCTCTCTCTCTCTCTCTCTCTCTCTCTCTCTCTCTGTTTCTCGCTACTCCAGCGTACACGAGATGATCCGAGAGGAAATACAAAATACACTCCACCAGTTTTAAGCAGTTTTACAGCTAATTTTCAATGAAAAACACTGTGAGAGCGTATATCCGACTCGCGATAGTTAACGAGATGTAAGCACGTTAACGTTTCGAGAGGAAGATAACAGACGACGGATTTTGCACAATTATTCTTTAATGCTCCGGTTAAGCGGACGTAATGTGCTTTTTCCTTTTTTCTTTATACTGAAGAACTATTTTAAAATCAAGAGACTTCATCACGCAAACCTGAGACTTTAACTCGACATTCGCGACCCGTTATTTGCCGACTGACTAGATTGCTTTGGGTTTATATATGCCGGCGGATAACTGGACAAACGTCAAGTGCACGTTGCTAACAGCGAACGTATGAGTCAATGCGAAACAAAAAAAGGCTGAAACCCCACCAATGCGGCCGGAAATTGTATAATTTCCTCATATTTCCTCGCAATCGCTTTGTCGAGACACCGACAGTGACAGCAAACATATACGATCGCGCTACGGGCAGCTGATATCTGTAGGATTTCGCAATGCCAGAAGGCGCAAAGATTTAATACCACGGACGATCGGACATCGTCATCGTTCGCTTGTTCTTTAAAATTTGCATAGAGCTAAACACTCTTTCACCGAAAACAGAGAGTATATCTAAAAGAAAAAAAAAAAAGGAAAGAAAAAAACGTGAACGGAGTTTTCGAAATTTTTACATCGCGTAGTTGGAAGATAAAAGTTGCGAATAAAGTCTCTGCTCCCAAATGATGTTATAAGTCTTTCTCTCTGCAAGCCAATCTAAAGTTTCTTTACTTTTGTCGAAGAGAATATTATATAAAAATGTCAGTCAAAAAATCGACCGTACCTAGAGCGCGTCGAAGCTGAGGAAAGGACTTGCTAATCTATCACATGGTTCACGTCTGAATTGGCACATTTATATACAATATTAATTATTATATAAACGATTGAACAAATTTCCGACCGCCGACTGTATCCATTTTGGAGTTAAAAATCTTCTTTGCAATATTCAAACCTATACTGTGTAACTGTTTCGCTTGAAAGTGAAAAATTCTCTGACCTTTTTACCACATTGCATAATAATATTTAAAATATTTATATATTTAAATATTTATATATTAAAATTTATATATTTATATATTTAAAATATTTAAATAATATTTAAAAGTAAAATTGTTCGTTCGACCTGTCTTCGTTTTGTTATCTCAATTTTATGGATGGACACACCGCGCAGCTCGTAGGAGAGAAACTTTAAAACTAAACTTTAGAGTAACAGCCAATCTGCAAATCTGTCATCAAAGTCTGCCCAAACGGATTTGCATGGCTATACATAACGCATACATGCAAAAGACCAATTGTACATTTAACATAAAAGGCTCCACATTCTTCATATCGGACATGTAATTGGTCGATTTCTCTATACGTACACATCGAATGCGTCCACGGAGACGCTATTAGTGCTATTTAACGCTACAGACTATTCGCGGAACTAGATAGTAGTGCTAACAATAGCTATCATGACGCCATTAATGGTATATAAATGGTATATGGTATATATATATATATGGTATATGTATATATGGTATATGTATATGGTATATATATGGTATATATATTGGTATATGGTATATTAATGGTACATGGTATATATATATTGTTACAATAGTGCTCTGACTTTTGTTAATTTGATGATTTTGAAATTTTCAAAGGTCGATAAGTTAATAAAAGTTAGGACACCATTAATTCAGTTTTCTATGATATCTCTTAATTCGGTCTCTTCTGCCTTTATTTTAAAATTTTACAACTGCTATATCTTGAAAACTAAACATTTTAGAAAAAAAATTTTTTAGACAAAAGTTATATGGTTTCAAGGGGGACATAGAATAACTATATTATTTTGTCTACAGATGGCGTCATTTTCGAGATATTCACTGATTATTACTTTTCTTAAAAAGAAACTCAATTTTTTTATTATATCTTCTTTTTCTATTAATTTCTGTTAATTAATGTGAAGAACTTTTATCTGAAACATTTTATCTGAAACTATTATAACAATATGTATTCTTGAGACTAAATAAACCTTTTCTTCCGGCAAATAGCGGGATATCGTAAGTTAAATATTGAAAAAGTTACCAAGTTTTTCTTAAATATCTCAAAAAATATTAGGCAAATAAAAAAATGTTTCAGACAAAAATTGTTAAAATTAATTGGTTAAAATTAATTGTTAAAATTAATTGGAAAAAGATGATATAATAAAAATTGGAGTTCTCATTTAAGAAAAGTAATGAACAGTGAGTATCTAAAAAATGGCGCCATCTGTAAACAAAATGATATAGTTTTATGTCCTCTTTAAAATCATACATCTTTTGTCTAAAACGTTTCTTAATATCTTTCATATTTTTCGAGACTTTTGTCTGACTCATTTAAAATGGGATGCCCTGTATTATCCCCGAAATATTTTATTCACACTCCAATGCGATATATAACATTTAAAGTAGCAAGTGACATTAAATGACTTTTCAATGACGTTTCTAACGTCCATAAGATATAACAAAAATGTCACTTGACGTCATCTTACTACTTGAGATGAGATATATTGCAATACAATATTACAGTAATCTTTTAATATTACATATAAACATAATATATCAGTAATATTTCTGTAATATTGTATTATACTCGTAATATGTAATATTAATGATATATTGCAATCTAACTATGATATTTAATTCTATAATATTACGTGCTATGTAGAATGGTATCTTTTCGATTTGTTTTCATTTTCAATGTCGTTTCAAATAGAAGCCAGTAATTTCAAACACCCTCTAAAAATCTGTTCTGCAGCAATGCCAACGTTACGCTAAAGCTGTTCACGGAACTTACTGTCGCAATTGCATTATTTGCTCCGTGAATGACTTTAGTAGCATTTGCATCGATAGTGTTAATAGCGTCTCCCTGAACGCATCCATCGTATACGCATGAAGGCCTTTCACACGTGAATTGCTGTAAACGTAACGTAAAGTTTATTCGTAAGCATTGACCAATCCGATTATATATGTACAACCGCCATTTGCGAGAATACTTAGCTGTGATTGGATACTAATAGGAAGTCGTTTCGTTTGTGTTTTATATTTCTGTTATAATTTTTCAAGCTTTGTAACATACAAGCAGTGTTGGAGGCATGTATTCCCTCCGCAACCTCCTGCGCATGCGTCAACTATGTCACAAGTTTTGATAGTGCTTAGATATACAATAGGGCGTTCTTAAGGCGAAACCAATGTAGTAATGTAGAATTATTGCTGCGTTCCGATATTCACTGCCAATATTGAAAATACATCATTTATGTCACGTATACTATAGATTTTCAGTGTTGGCAATGAATGTCGGAAGGCAGCCTATATAGAAAAAAAAAAAAAATTAAAATAGATATGGTTCGGGCTCCACAAAAACCCTCAATTTTAGGTATGAATATGATAAGTAGCTACACGCGTGACATAATTGACGCATGCGCAGAAAATTACGGAGAGAATAAATGCCCTCAAGACTGCACACAAGTCACAGTGAAGAAGCAACTGAGACGAAATAACTTCTCGCTCGGTCTCAAACTGCAAACTTCCAACTTTACTTTCGGCGACAGTTCAAGTATACGAAAGCTTGGGTTTTATATATATTTCATTGCATATATCGAATGTTGGGAGCATGCGTACTGAATTGTAAGCATGCATTCCGCACTTGATTCGACACCCAATAATCAGATACGCATGCGCGCAACAGCAACAATTTTATTATAGAACCAGAGAGGAAGCTGAGAGCGGCCAACATGGCGTTTTCGACGACACCGATTTTTCGCACTGGAAATGGGCGCCATCTGCATCCATTTTGAGAGGAGAACTACGATGCTACATCCACTTTTAGGTCTTGGTGGTAAAATCTGCATGTGGTGGAAGTCCGTGCTACATCTACTTTTAGGCGATTTATGTCCGTGCTGCAACCATAGTTACTATCTCTATGCCAGACAATAGGCTTGTTCGTTTTATTTGCACTGCTGAACTGGTGCAACAAGTTGAAGTAAGAAAATCTACGTTTGTTTCACTTTAATTTAATGCACTAATTCAGCAGTGCAGACAAAACGAACAGGCCTTATGTCCAAAGGTCTAAAAAGAGCGGGGGGGAGCAGAAAAAATAAAAGTACATATTAAATATTAAATCCTCTACATATATGTTGCCGTATCAAAGTCTCCTGTATAATAAACGATTTGATACGTCTGGAGACGCATGATGTATCGTTGCTCACGTCCCATTCCCTTCGTCCTGTTTC